TTAGAATAGTCTGCACCTTCCTCAGTGTACATCTCTCCACCACATCCTCCACTTAGTCCAACTTGAATCCAACCACAGAGACAGCCTTTTGCACCAGTTTGTTCAGACATCTTGCATCTTTGTGCTTGATACTGCTTCCCCAGCAGACTGCAGCGTAGAACAGACACTGTAGACACCACAGACTGATAAAATATCAGCAGCATCTTACTACAGATCGAATCAAATCGAATCAAATCAAACTTTATTTATAAAGCACTTTTCAGGCAAGAAAATGCGGCACAAAGTGCTTTACAATTTAAAACAATGAGCCCCCGCCCAACCCTCACTGAGAGCCCACCCCAACACAAAGACACACACACACACACACACACACACACACACACACACACACACACACACACACACACACACACACACACACACACACACACAGATTGTGGTGAGACGCCTCCACCTATTGCTTTATCTTGGTTGGACTTCCTGTTTTTCTTGGTTTCCCTGGTCTGGCTTCACTCTTTTTCAGAGCACCCTCCCCCTCCCCGGTCGCTGAGGCTGAGTGAGACTCCACACCTGCTCTACATCTACAATCAAGGCCCTTTAAGAAGCCAGCGGCCCTCAGTCTCAGCGCCTGAGTATTGTCTTCACTTCCCAGTGGTACAGACGCTTCTTTTGGCCTTCTCCTCGGATAAGTGCTTGTGACTTTTTGCTCCCTGTGAATTTTTGTATGTTTTCTCACTCCTATCTCCTCTGTTTTTTCCACAGTGTCTCCAGCCCACACAACAGTCAGCCAGCAAACCAGACGTTTCCCTTGTGCCTTTTTTCCCTGAGTTGGACATTAAAATTACTCCTTTAATTTGCTATCTGCCTCAGTGTCTGCTTCTGGGTCCTCACAATACACCATACGTCACACAGATAATGTAATCTTAAAAGCGTCTGGCTGAGTACAGAGGAGCCAAGTCAGGAAGCGTCAGGAGGCTGACTGCACTGGAGGCCGCTCATGGCCCAGGGCCAGGACACCTCCACCTGGGTGCCCACCCCGCTACAGGCCAGTAAGGGGCCCACAGCAGCAAGCACAGCTGCAGACCACCACCTGGCTGAGCTGAGTGCACACCACGAGGCAGAGAAACCCTAGACAGAACCAGTCACAGCCTCCAGTGCAGGTGGCCCCCCTACTGAGGAAACACTGGAGAAATGCAATGAAAACATCAAACTAGATAAAATTATAAAATACTGATAAATAGCTAAAATACAATTTAAAAATAAGTGAATAAATAGAATAAACATAACATGTAAAATGAGAACTAAAATATAAATGAAATAAAATAAGTTATGAATAGGATAAATATATAGATTGAATATAAAACATTAGTTAAAAGCCAAATTAAATAGGTGTCTATTTATTGGAGTCTTCTCAGGCTAAAGAGGCGGCTCTGCCCCTTTTTGTAGATGAAGTCTATGTTCTTAGACCAGTCCTACTTCATCATCCAGATGTACACCTAGATATTTATATGATGAAACCACTTCGATGTCCACTCCACAGGTATTCACTGGCTGAAGAGGGGGTTTGGATCTGTGCAAGTCTATGACCATCTCCTTGGTCTTTGAGGTGTTGAGGAGGAGGCAATTTTTGTCACTTCAGTCACTGAAGGCTCTTATCAGATCTTTGTATTCAGCTTCTTGTTCATTTCTAATACATGCCACAGTGTCATCTGAGTATTTCTGGATGTATTTGAAGTCTAATATATACAGTGTGGACAGGAATGGAGCCAGGACTGTCCCTTGTGGAGCCCCTGTACTGCTCACTAATGTCCCAGAGGCACAGTTCCCTAGCCTAACAAACTGTGGCCTTCCTGTCAGGTAATCTGTGATCCCTGAGACCACCTCAGGAGGTGGTCTCTGTACGGTTCACAAAAAAGTCTGAGTTAAGGTTTGCGCTATGGGAACACAAAGCGCATCAGGTTTACTACGCCCTTTTGCACTGTTTTATAATCTTCACCTGCTGTAGATTGATCACGTGACTGCAGCGGGGATTACTCAGAGCGGTAGAGAAAAGAAAGAACACTAAATCCAAAGTATGGCTCTTGAGATTCTGCTATCATACCTGGATGCAGCGTTGTTTGGGGAGAAAGCGAACCAGAATGTCTTTTGGAAATTTGGAATGACGAAAGCCTAAAAGCAGAACTATATACAACCCACCATTATGCAAAGGACTTCAAGAAATTTCTAAGAGGATGAAAGCAGCTGGTCATGTTTATAATGTAATTGGTTACAGTGCGAGTTAAAGTTAAAACAAACAAACAAACAAACAAACAAACAGAACTACCTCGGCACTCATGATAAAATGATCCAGAGGACCTAGTGTGAACACACAGAGGACTCACGCTCCATCAAAACTGAACTGGACCAGAAAGAGAACCCAGTCTTCTTTGAAATAGACTCAAAATGTGAACACAAAAGAACTAAGTTCCTTTGCTTTCGATCCACCTTTAGGTCCACTAATAGAGGACTGAGTTTGGTTCTCTTTAAAGGGACCAAGAGTGAAAACATCCCGATGATCTTACCTGCCTAGTGGTTGTAAGGCAGTGGCTCTGTAAGCATCTTTGACATTGGCATACAGCAGGTCCAGGGTTTTATTTTTTCTGGTAGGACAGTTAACAAGATGTGTGAATCCAGTCAGGTGAGAGGAGAGGGTGACATTGTTAAATTCTCCAGATATTATTATTAGTGCCTCAGGGGTGTTGAATCTGTAGCCTAGCAACAGTATTATGCAAAAGATTGCATGGAATTTCTTCAGTTGATTTGGGTGGGATGTTAACAACTATTGTTATGATATGAATAAATTCTCTTGAAACATAATATAGCCAAAGAGCAACTGCCCAAAAGTTCAATATCTACACAACTATCCCTGACAGTTATGTGTGAAGGGTTACACCATCTCTGGTTGACAAATAAAGCCAGACCTCTTCCTTTCTTTTTGCCACTAGCTTGAGCATCTCTGTCTGATCGTGCATCATTTTGATAGGGGAGGTGCACTACCAGGTACACATGTGAAAGGGCAGGGCGCCCTCAGAAAATAAGTAAACTGCCAAATATAACTAATGCAATCAAGTCCTTAATTCTTTTGACCAAAGTGGTCCTGCCTGAACAATTACCTGCCAAGGACACTGTCTGTATTTTTTTGAAGTAGCATTTTTATCCATACAGACTGTGTTTAACACACAGAATAAATCTGACTGTTTGCATCTTTATAGCTGCTACAACATCAAAGTTTATTTCTGCTTTGGTTTTACATTGTGAGAAATAAAATGACAGTAAATCAAAGCTGCAATTAGCTTTAAACTGGCCCCTGCACATTGGTGCAGCATATGTCAGGGTTTGGTGCCTGTTATGATGTGCTGCACTTACACTTTGTAGCTTCACCTTCTTTCTCATTGAAAGAATAATTACAGTGAATCCAAATAAGTCCATGAATGGCTGTTGCCTCTCACCAGCAGGTGGAAGTACAAGAAAAGTAAGGAAATTGCACAATGGTGTGCTCAGATTGGAATTTTTATCTTTTAAAAATTTGAGCAGTTTGGACCCTGTATGTATGCATCAAAGAAGTTTTATTATGCCTCCATGTAATTTTCCTTTAAGCCATGACTCTTTCACCAATGGAGTGGCCCCACCTAAAGCTAGACTGATATGGATCGTGGATGTTGTGTAAAAACTTCAAAAGTGGATCAAACACTGTATTCAAGAGTTTCTGCTAGAAAAGGCAGGAGTGATACTGGCTTGTAGGGGTGGGCCAATGCATTGATTCTTTGATGCATCGTGGTGGGACACGTGACGATTAATCATGATTAAATAACACTGAAAAATCAATTATTTCCCATGGAATGAAATCTAAAAACACCCTGAGGTTGGCAGGAACAGAAAAAGCTGCCCCGATCGTTGTAAGGAACAGACTTGTGAAGCCACCAGGACAGTTTTATAGGACTGACATAACATAACTCGCTTGCTACTGTCACTGAGCGTGAGGTTTTGGGTTTGAAATCTAATGTGTGGATGCATTTCATGGAGAGAATTGAATTTACTCTGTTCTCATTCTGTTCATCTGCCACTTATTTACAATTAAAGCTGCTTATAGTCGAGAATAGCAAAATGTTTGATTGTTGTGGGACGCTATCCTGCTTATTGAATACTTTTTAGGTCTTTATTACTACTAAGGTTAAGTTATTATGATCACTTCATGTTAGATCAGATTAAAGCTGAACAAGCTTAAAGTTACAGCATTTTATCTTATAAGAGCAGCGTTTAGTTTAGTAAACATAGTGGGTGTAAATCTGTTTATTTTGTTTAATAGATGCTTAAAAATATACCTAATTTAAAAGAAATCCTGTATAGTCATTGAATGATTGAATTGTGACACCCTGAATCATAATCGAATTGAATTGTGAGGTGTCTAAGATGGCACACCCCTAGTGGCCTGTAATTATCAACCTGGGCTGGGTTGAGAGTGGATTTCTTTAAGGGGAACTTGGAGCTTTTTAAACCTGGGCCCTATTTTCTCATGTATTTGTGTGTGTTTGACTGGTGGGGAGAACAGTCTCTGAAATCGGTCCAGTAATGAGGGAGAGCAGAGCATCCTACAGCCATGAAAGTAGCTCAAATGCAGTTCGACCAGGCAACTGCTCATGGTCAAACTGCATCCACTGCGAGTGCTTTGTGTCACCACTGACAGGCTCAGACTGTTGGTACAAAGCCTGGGAACAGAATGGCAAGGGACGTGTTGATACCTAAAATTGGTGGTGTTGATGTGACCTTATTGATACCTTGGACACCCAATGCTGTGTGACCACATCAGAGGCCTCAGGGCGTTTGGCTATTGGGGGGCCACTCAGCCCGAGCAGAAGCCGCTATGACGCTGATGAGCTGCGCGCATGCGCCCGGTGTAAGGAGGATGCAGCTCACGGCAACAGCGGCAGGTTAATCAGAGAGAGTGACACGAAGTTTTCGCCATGTCTGGCAGCGGCGGAAAAAAACGAGAAAGTGGCTATGCCAGAAGAAAAAAAAATGAAGAGAAGGAGAAGCGAGAGGCTAAGCTCCGGGAAAGCATGCCTCGTCTGACCACCTACTTCACAACAAAAACTTTGCTAGCGATGGCGACGGCGTCGGTCCCTCCGGGTGCCGTGGACTCGTCTCCGTCCTCCCCCTCCTCCCCCTCCTCCGAATCGGACGCTGAGGCGAATATCCGACGCGGCCAAAGTAAGTAATATGGCCATGTTCTAATTAGCATATAGCCTATATTTGCGGCATCATATATTTATATATTGAGATTGACTAGCCTACTTATTTATCAGGAAATGAGGGCCTCGCTCATGACGGTGTGATTGACTCAACCGAGGGACCACCCAGCACATCTGCTTGTGTAGCAGCCGTCACAGAACCACCAGAGAGAGACAATGGTAGTGACATTGATGTTGAGGAGCCAGCAGCAGGTACAGCAGACAATGGGGCAATCTACAGCAAAGACCCTGGGTGCTGGCCTGCTGTGGTTGATGAGGAAGCCAGACATTATTGGATTAAGACTGGGCCAGTGGCATGCCAAAACAGAGACAGTGACTTTAAGAAATCTGAAAGAGTGTACAAACACCAGAAACGGCGCTTTTCAAAGAGGTTCTTCAATAGGAACCTGGTCAATGGAGAGATTGTTCCACGTGAGTGGCTGTTATATTCTCCTGTAAAGGGGGCAGCTTTTTGCTTTGCATGTAAGCTATTTGGCAAGGTCCCAACTGCGTTTTCTGGGAGTGATGGCTTTAGCAATTGGAAAAATGCCAGTAGGACAATTGAACAGCACGAACAGTCATAACATCACAGACAGTGCATGGTAACATGGTTGTCAAGATCATCTGAAACTGGTGGAATTGATTTGAGCTTAAAAGAACAGATAGATGCTGAGTGTCACTATTGGGAGGAGGTCCTAAAAAGAGTTGTTGCCACTGTGAAATTTCTGTCAGAACGAGGGCTAGCCTTCAGAGGTGACACAGAAACCTTTGGCTGTCCACATAATGGAAATTACATGGGTTGCCTTGAGCTCATAGCTTGTTTTGATCCCTTTTTGAGAGAACACATTGCCCGCTTTGGAAACAGAGGGAGGGGGAATCCTTCCTATTTGTCTAGCACAATATGTGATGAGTTTGTTCAGTTAATGGGTGAAAAGGTTTTGTCAGAGATTGTCAATCTAGTAAAACTGGCTAAATACTTTTCAATCAGTGTAGACTCGTCACCAGATGTGTCTCATATTGATCAGCTGACATTTATTATGCGCTACGTGTCTCCAGAGGGCCAAGTCGAAGAACGGTTCCTAGAATTCCTTCCAATAACAAGCCATGTGGGTGAATCACTTTTCAATGCTGTGATGGGAGTGTTGAATGAATTGGGCATTGACATCCAAAACTGTTGTGGTCAGTGTTACGACAATGCAAGTAATATGTCTGGCATATACAAGGGTGTACAAGCTCGCATACGCCAAATAAATCCCCTTGCAGAGTGGGTCCCCTGCGCAGCGCATTCTCTAAATTTGGTGGGAGTCAATGCTGTTAACTGCTGCATGGAATCAAATGATTTCTTCAATCTTGTTCAGAACCTGTTTAATTTCTGTTCTGCATCACCATCATGATGGGAAATCATCAGCAGTAACCTTGGCCAAAATGAGAATAGAAGAATTGAACACCTGAAATCTCTGTCAGACACTAGATGGTCAGCACATGCAGCGGCAACAAGGGCTTTGACCCTCAATTATGCAAACATCCACCAATCATTGGTGCAGTTGTCGGGAGAGGAAACGCAAAATGTATCTACCCAAAATGAAGCAAAGGCTCTGGCAAACAACATGAAAAAATTAGAGAATGCGATTCTGTGTCAATTCTGGGATTGTGTGTTACAAAGGGTTGATAAAGTAAGTGTCCACTTGCAAGCTGTCGATCTAGATCTCATGAATGCAGATACCTTGATTTCCTCATTAAGTGACTTTATTGGGACACTTAGAGATGACTTTGCACGATTTGAGACTGCAGCACGCGATGCGTTTCCTGATGTGTCTGAGACATACAAGCAGGACACTCAGAGGAAACGCATGCGTAAAAAACATGCTGATGAATCAAACGAACCAGATGTATCTTTGACAGGCAGGAACAGATTTATTGTGGATGTATTTAATGTCATTATTGACAGGTTAATGGCAGAACTAAAAAGCAGATCCGCGTCCTACAAAGCTGTGAGCAAGCTCTTTTCTTTCTTGAGTACCATCAAAACAGATTCTGAACAGAAACTAAGGTCAGCAGCTATGCGATTGCAAGAAAAATATGCTGGAGATTTGAATTTGGATTTTCCTGATGAGATTGTGCAGTTTCAAAGCTTCTGCAGGAATGAAGACACCATGTCATCAAAGCAGTTAATGCAATTTATTCGTAGTAGAAGCTTGCAAAGTGTATTCCCAAACGTAGACATAGCACTGCGACTATATCTCACATTGCCCATCACCATTGCTTCAGGAGAGCGGTCCTTTAGCAAGCTGGCATTGGTTAAGAGTCGTTTGCGGTCAACGATGGTACAAGACAGATTGTGCAATCTTACTCGCATGTCCCTTTCGTCTGACATTGTCAGAAAAATGGACTTTACAGATACAGTGAAGGATTTCGCAGTACGCAAAGCCAGGAAGAAAGCATTTTAGTTATGAGGCCTTGCCCTACTGGGCTACTGTGGTTTTGTTAAAGTGATAGCGGTGAGATAGCAGTGATTTTATGTTTAATGCCTTGCACTTTTATTTATAATGCCGCACTGTTTTTGACTTTATTATTGTTTTTGTATTGGTTTCTCTGGCATATCTGTATTTTATTTATTGCACTGATGGCATTGTATAACCATAATAGGCCTTCATACCATGCCTTGCACTTTTATTTATAATGCCGCACTGTTTTTGACTTTATTATTGTTTTTGTATTGGTTTCTCAGTAAAAAAGTGAACTGTACACCAGCCTCTGTGCTTTCCTTGAAGACTTTTTTCACTACCTCTTGTTAAATTGAGTTCAGACACACAGTTGTATTAACCCAGTGGTTTGGCTAGAGGTGGTGGCTAGTGGAACTGTTAAATAACCACCCATAACTGCAGTAATTTCCACAAAATGACCAATAAAAACTGCCAATTTTTGACGCGCGCGGGACAGAGGGGGGCCATTAGGTTTGCTTAGCCTCAGGGGCCACAGAAGGTTTAATCCGGGCCTGCACATGTCCACTTCCACTACAAAGCTATCCACATGACCACCTTTGGGCAGTAGACAGCAACAATATGTGAACTGATAGGAGCAATGATTTTGAGAGCATGGTATTCAGAAGTGAAAAGATGTTGCTCATTGGAGAGAGCTTACTGAAATACCAGTTTTTGGAAATCAGGACTCCTGTGCCACCTCTTCTAATAGGGTGAGGAGTGTGTCAGAACACCATGTCAACAGTGAGGGCTGCCAGGGTAGTAGTGTGTTGAGGGTGCTCCCAGAGTTCAGTTAGGACTATGACCTGAATGTCATGTAGCTTTGTGAGAGCAAAAACAAGAAAAGCCTGACCGTTTCCAAGGTTCTCAATCAAGTATGCTGCATCTGGTCATCCACAACAAAATCCAAATGTTCAGGTCCAAGGGTAAGTAAAGATTGCCCAGATTCAGTTTCCTGTGGGTTAATTTTCCTTTTTTCCCTGTGCAGGATGTTGAGCAGGGCATTGAACAACCACCTGCTCAGCCTGAAGCTGGGACTCGTGTCCTGCTCCGGATCCAAGTAGATCCACAGGACCAGGACTCGAGTGTTCAGGCGAGCATAGCATATGATCTGGAACAAACAATAAACACAAAGTAATGTGTATTTGGAATTACATCAAGTGGACCATATAGGTTGTTTAACACACCTGCTCCGCAGCAGGCTATGTTTCAAGATTAGAGCTCATCGCTTGCCAAAGACCACTGTAACCCAGGTTACAGAATCCTCATATCCTCATCCTCAATCCTCAGATTTCTGCTCCCTTTTATCCCTTCATCACCCATTGGACACCTTCCCTGTCAGTCAAACACTGGGGGTCCTTACAAGGATAAAAGATTAAAAACAACTAAAAACTAAAATATGAATAAAACATAGACCATCTGAGTGACAACAAATACAAATAAATATGAGAAACATAGGCTAACTAGAATAAATGAAGATAAAATAAATATTAATCAAAAGCTAAGCTAAAAAGGTGGGTCTTGAGCCTGCTCATAAAAACATTAACGTTCTCTGTGGCCCTGTGGTCCTCTGGCAGGCTGCTCAATAGACAAGGGTGTAGTATTAACTCATTCATTGCCAGGTTCATTTGTGCAATTTTCACCCAGTGCCACTATTATACCGCAACAGAAATTTCTGTATCTTTCAGGACCCACAGAATATCTTGTGCTTAAACTAGAAATAAGTGCAGGGTTGATTCTCTTCTTTCACCACAAAAAAAGGAAGTCTCTAACCCACTCCTGTGTTTAGTTATTGCCTGCTCAATGCAGCGTTGTCATATCATCTTTGCCGATCTGGAGAAAGAAACCTGGGAAAAACAGTTTTACGAAGGAGAGACTCTTAAGCAGAACTCTGATCATCTATTTCATTTCATTTCAAACTACTTCACCGGTGGCATCAAGGTCCTCCCTCCTTGGACATCACTCCTCATCACTCTCAAGATCCAATTGTGATAGGTCACTTTGTGACAGCTGGGAGTCGAATTGGCTCTCGAGAACCTGATTCCGCAACGTAAACCACATGGTCGTGTCCTGCTCCCCGGGACGCTAAATTCGCTAAATTCTAGTGCAGTCTCGCCCAACAGTACCGGTGGCACAACAACACGCCGCAAAATTGTTTTTTTGATTCTTGATCCAGAGATGGTAGCACCATGCCCAGAGGAGCATGACTGTTTGCTATGGCTAATGACATTTCCCTACTTTCCTCATGGAGAAAAAACACCCCACAACTAGGCTAATTGACACACTTGATTGCACACTTCTTACTTGCGAGTACTTGTTTTTTGTTATTGTAACATAGTTATACCATATTTGTCAGCTTTTCTGCGTTCAGAATGACCTTAAACTTAGTCACATGTTGGGGAGGAGCACTGTCTGGCGAAAAACAAAAAAAACTAAAAAATCCGTCAAAATCTGTCAATGATGCTCAGGGCAAATAAAAAATTCTGTCCAATCCGTCATTGGCAATGAATGAGTTAAAAAGATGCCTTTCCATGAGTGTGTGTCCTGACTTTTGGAACGACTAGGAGCCTGCTGCCAGAGGATCACAGGGTCCATAGAGGTTCATAAGGTAAAAGCAGTCCTGAAAGATAAGAAGGCCTAATGCGCGCTCAGACCAAACGCGACCTGAAGCGACCTAGTCGCGTTGGTCGTTGTATTCCCGTCGCGTGTGTTCACACCGGGTCCAAAGCTGCAGTCACGGAGGTCGCAGGACGCGGCTGGTCGCCGCTGACCCGCTTCTCCCACCTTCCTTTTCTCCCTCATATATACATCCCGCAGCCCCTAGTCTTAGTCAGGACACGTGCTGCTGAATATTGTTATCCTTGTAAACCTGAATTATTCTTTTTGGGAAGACCAGAAAGCAGGGCAATACCGTAGTCTTAACGACTTGTGATAAAAGCATGCATTAGTGTCTGTGTTGACCCGAGAGAGAATGGGATGGACACTTCTTTAGGTGATAAAAAACTATTTTAATGTTCTTTGTGTGGAAAAGTCAGCTCAGAGTCGAAAAAGACGCCCAGGTTTCTCACTTGTGGTGATGGATTAAAAGGCAAGGCTCATGGTTTGGGTAGAAGTTTCTCTCTCTGTGCCTCAGGACCGATGACTAAAAAAAAAAAAAAAGTTCTCTGCCATCCAGGATTTGATAGAGAAGATTACCTCTACTACTACTACTACCCCCACTACTACTACTCGTGCCAATAGCTCTTTCTCCACCTATGGCAGGATCACGGGAAGGGAGTATGTGGAGTATGGATGAGAGGGAGGACGAGGAGGATGGGGGTTGGGAAATGAGGAAATTGAATAAATGATTGAAGAGGCGAATGGTGGAGGACAGACAGCAGAGGGAGGAAAAACGGAAAGTTGTGGTGCGATTTGAAGGAGAAGGAGGGGTGAGGGGCATGGATCCGGTTAAATAAACAAAGTCTATTAGGAAGCAGGTTGGTGAGGTGGAGTTTGCGAGAGTGTTGAATGATGGTAATCTGTTGCTTAGCTGTACTTCGGAAGAGCAGGTGATGAGAGCGCAGAAAATGCAAGGTGTTGGGAAAGGAGTGGTAGCAAAAGTGGTGAGAGTGGGGGAGGGTAGCAGAGGAGTGATATCTGGGGTCCCTTTGGGAATGGATATGAAGGAACTTGTGGGCAACTTGAGAGTAAGATGTGAGGCTGTACAGCAAAGTCTCAAAGTGGTTGATTAAGGGTGTGAATAAAACTGAAATTGAGTCTGTTCTAGTGCAATTCGGCACAAGAGAGTTGCCGTCTGAGGTGTATTTTGGGTTTTTGAGGTATAGGGTGATGGAGTTTTCACAGAAACCTATCAGATGTTTCAAGTGCCAGAGATTTGGGCATGTGGCAAGGATTTGTAAATTGTAGTGTTTCAATTGTGGGGGAAACCACAGCGCAGCCTACTGGGGCTGTGAGGTCATGAAAAGGGAAGTTGAGATCCAGACAGTTAAAGTGAAGGATAAGGTGTCATATGCGGAGGCAGCTAGAAGGGTTGGAGGGGTAGTGGGGGCAGGGGGAGGAAGAAGAAGGGCAGAAGGGAACTCAGAAGGTGCAGGTGTAAATCTAAGACTGAAAGGATCCAAATTATTGCAAAGGCAGCTGTACAGCACTTGGGCCTGGTAGATCTAAAATGGGAAGAGATATGAGATGGTCTGAGCGTCCCACTAAGCCAGGAAGGAAGTAGTGTAGGATGATTCTACTTATCATGCTACTCTTACAATGGAATGCAAGAAGTTTGATAGCCAACAGTCAAGATTTTAAAAAAGTAATTGCCAATAGAAGAGAGAAGCCAGACGTGATCTGTGTTCAGGAAAAATGGCTAAGGCCTAAGCTGGACTTTGTCCTGCTGGACTACGTCGCTGTCAGGCGGGACAGGACTCAGGGAAGTGGTGGGGGATGTGCAACATTTATCAGAAGGGGGGTTCCGTACAGAGTGGTGGGTCTGGGCAAGGAGCAGGAATATGTGGTAGTAGAAGTATGGGCAGATAGGAGGAAAATAGTATTGATAAACTACTAAAATCCATGTCGGCAGATGAGACTGGAAGAGCTTGAGAGGGTGGAGGGTCAAGATGGGGATAGTGTTATATGGTGTGGGGATTTTAATGCCCATAGTACACTATGGGGGGGGGGGGGGGGGGTAGAACGGATAGCAATGGAGAGGTAATTGAGGAGATGCTGAGTGAGAGGAACCTGGTATGTGTAAATGATGGGAAGAGGACAAGGGTGGATGTGAGAATGGGTAGACCGGTGCTAGACCTAACCATAATGTCTAGTGGACTGGCTCAAAGGTGTGAGTGGGATGTTTTTACTAGTGGGACCATAGGGAGTGATCATTATCCAATTATTTGTCTTGCCCTGACAACCTGTGGATACCCTAAGTGGGCCTTTGTGAAGAACAGAAAGAGAAATAACACTGAACAGGAAAGGGAGGAGAGACGCAAGAGCACTGTAATCCCTTACGTTGCCTGTCGGAAAAACTCAAGAGGATCTTTGGCAAACACCACATTCCTGTTCATTTCAAGCCTGGTAACACACTAAGGCAGAGGCTAGTCCATCCCAAGGACAAAACACCGAGACATAAACAGAGTAATGTGGTATATGCTGTCCAGTGCAGCGAGGAATGCTCAGACCTGTATATTGGGGAAACTAAACAACCGCTTCACAAGCGCATGGCTCAACACAGGAGAGCCACTTCCTCAGGTCAGGACTCAGCTGTCCACCTTCACTTGAAGGATACGGGTCACTCTTTTGAGGACAGCGATGTACAGGTGTTGGCTCGAGAAGACAGATGGTTTGAAAGAGGAGTTAAAGAAGCCATCTTTACCAGGCTGGAGAAACCTTCTCTGAACAGAGGGGGTGGACTCAGGCACAATCTCTCTGGCACTTACAATGCAGTTCTCAGCTCTCTCCCCAGGAAGCTCCACAAACATTCACACCTGGAACCACATGACTCAGGTGGCATGAGTCATGTGGTCACATGATAGGAGTCGCTAACGACCCTTTCAGCATAACGACTTGGGGGACACACACCGAGAGATGGGTTTCTACGACCCATTCTTTTCAACTCCAGCCAGTCGTTAACTGTCCCCCTTCTCCAGTAAGATAAATATCTGCTCCTGACACTAGCACTTTTAGAACTGAAGAAGCTTCTTGGATAAGAGGCGAAACGTCTTCTCAACTCTACAACAGTCCAGTTGCCTGTTTTTAAGTCTTCAAGATAACCATGACCTGGATGAATGAGAATCTACATGGACAAACCACAGTAACAGATTTGGGGTATGATACGGAAGATGGGGGGGGGGGATAGACGGGCGTGGGGCTATCCGATTCTATCTGATGGAGATGAATCAGCCATTACAAATGAGGAGAAGGCAGAAATGATGGTGAATGCTCTCAGCAAGGTTCATAGCTCTGACAATCTATCAGCTGAAGAGAGGAGGTGTAGAGAGGAAACCAAAAGTATACTTGTTGGAGTTGTCTAGAAGAAGAGCAATGTAGATGATAAGTACAACTTACCGTTTACAATGGGGGAGCTGAGGAGGGCACTGGCGAGTTGCAAGGACTCCGCTCCGGGGAAGGATGGTGTCTGCTATGCCATGT